ACGTGAGAGTTGAGTTCTCTGTTTTTCCCAGAGCACCTGGAACCAGCAGCATCAGGCGAACTAGGCCCTTCCTCTGCCTCTCTGATGCGCTGAGTGTTTGGCTACCTTGCAGTACGCTTACCCTTCTGATTCCACAATCGCGCTGTAGGTCGAGCCCCCTCTCGTTGAGAGCTGGGTGTGTGCTCCCTCAGGTAAGGTAAACTACTGCTAGCCGTTCCAGCATTGGAACACGCTGTAGGTAGAGCTCCCTTCTCAACTGAGAACTGGGTGTGTTGCTCCCCCAGCTAAGTAAATTATTGCTAGCTGTTCCAGCTTTGGAACATGCTGCAGGTCGAGCCTCCTCTCGTTTGAGAACTGGGGGTGTTGCTCCCTCAGCTAAATAACTGCTAGCTGTTCCTCCATTGGAACATGCTGTAGGTCGAGCTCCCTCTCAATTGAGAGCTGGATGTTTGCCCTCTCAGCTACAGATTTACTGCTAGCCACTCCAGCATTATAAACCTTAGATTGAGTTGATGACTTCTCAAACATAGCGTTTTGGGATGCACCATTTCCATCTATGGGCTGCTCTTTCAGAGTGCCACGAGAACCCCTTAGAATGGTATTTTTAAAATCCATGTTATGGTAAGTGTGCATGTGAAGTCTTTGTACACTTTCTAAAATCCACACTGTGGTAAGTTCGCACGCTAGTACTCTGCGTTCTTTTCTAAAATCCTGTATGGTAAGAGCTACGCGCAGCAGCCTCGTGCTCTTTCTGAGTGGTTTAAAACCCCGATTCTGCCTTGGGCATCACTCCACCTATGTATCCTCTGGATACCTACGTTAACAGGGTGTTGTTACTAGGGGTCTGTTGAGATAGTTCCTTTAGCATATACAGAGAGTGCGGTAGCCCCTGTGTGACAGGCCAAGACTTAGTATGATTCTAGGCTCTTGGTCGTATTCCCTTAAAGGAATCTATTCCTGATTCCAAGCCTTGAGCTCTACCCCGGACCCAGGAGTTCTGGCCCTAACAGGTAAGTTTTTTGGGGTATGTAGCCTAGGCCTTTAGCCGTAGGGAATAATGTCACTGACAGCCGTCTAACGTCCCAGGGGTAACTCCCATGGCAATATGGTAGAGTTGGTACTTAGTGCTCACCATGGTTTCTGGCATGCACTCCCCTCAGCATGGTGGCGTGGGTATACCATTCTCCATAGCGACCCCTAGAGGACGCAGTTCGAAGTTCCCATGAAAGGGAACGTCTCAGGTTACTTATGAAATCATAGTTCCCTGAGTAGGGAACGAGACACTGCGTCCTCTAGGTTTCTTGCCATGCTTTGGACGCAAGCTTCAGACGAAGAAGTGGATGATGTGTTCTCCCGGTGCCTATTTATGTTATAGTCGCACCGGTAGTGATATCATGGCTCTCGCCGGCCAACGAGTTGTTGGTGTTTTTTCAATGTATGCTTCAGACACGGGTCATGACGAGGCGTTACCCCTAGAGGATGCAGTGCCTCGTTCCCTACTAAGGGAACCATGGTTACATAAGTAACCTGAGACGTTTTACACCCCTTAGTGTAAACCATGCCTTGATCCCAAAAGCTTTCAAAAATAGCTTTATTTAAAGGAAAAATGGCACTGCACATCAACACAAAAACCTCAACTAACTGGGAAGAATGGCTGAAGGAACATCATGATGTAGTGCTGCTTTAAGGCATGGACACTTTGCAATCACTGAAGGAGAAATTAATTCAAAGTGTATCGAGACATTTTACAGGGGAATATCAGATGTCAGGACAGTAATTCATGACTTCAAGCTTTTGAGAGTTTGGGTAAGGCAGCAAAACAATGGCCTAAAGCACACAAATAAATAAACTAAAGAATGTCTAAAAAGAAGAGAATGTTTTCTTGAGCCCTGATCTTAAGCCAATTAAGATGCTGTGACATAACCTAAAGAAATGCTATCAAGATAACCAAGAAATATTGATTAAATGATGGGATGGTCCAAAATTTTAGAGATGCTGCTGCTAGCAAAGGATTTATAATTTACCAAATTCAAGGATGTACTTACTTTCTCCATTCTGCAATGTGAAGGATTACTCAGTGTATTCAATAAAATATAAAAAGTAAAACAATTTTGTGTTATTAGTTCCATTAGATTGCGTTTGTCTATAATTGTGAGTTAAATAAAAAAAATCCAGATGTTTCCAAAGGATTCAAAACTTATTAATGTCACTGTATGATCTCGCATGAATGGCCAAGAAGAATGGAGGAGTAAATAACCACCTAAAAACGTTGGTGTTGCTCACACAAGCTTGTATTATTTTAGAAGAACTGGCATATTGAGTCATCTGGACTACATTTATGATACTTGTATGATGCATTCGTGTCCTTTTTGCAGCTTGAATGCTTCAGTCTTTGTTAACTGTAACTTCACAGCAAAGAACATATAAAAAGTCTTAATTTATCATTTTGTGTTACACAGAAAAACGTCAAATGGGGTTGGAAGGGCATATGGGTGTGTAAAGGATGACAAGTTTCATTTCTGGGTGAACTATTATTTTATAAAATATTAATAAACATATCACAGAAGCACACAAGACAAGCTTAAACAACCCAAATTAGGATAACACCTTCAGGAAATAAGCAGCACAGAAAGAAAATAATTTGAATTTTAAGCAAAAAAAAAAAACTAAACCAAACCTACAGACAGACATTACAAGTAACAAATACATTGGAAGACATATTGCAATGCAGACACTTTATTAAATTTCTTCTCACAGTTGGGTTTAAATGCTGGAAAACATTTATTTCTAATACATGAACAATATTACAAAATTTGCTCATTCACTGTTTCTGTGACAAGAGTACAGATATGATTGCCCCCACAACTGACTGAGAAAAATAACAATATTTTGCACACACAGACAGTGATAAAATATGGTTCTTCTGTTTTGTGATTTACGAGGTTTGCACTTTACATTTTATAAGTGAATGTTTGGAATGTTCTGGCTTTCATGCAAATTAAGCTCTTACCACACACTGTAAAAATGATTGTGATTTTAAAAGTAAAAGGCTGTAAAAATGTTACAGTAAAAACCTGTTAATTGCCTATCAGAAAGTTTCCATACTCTATCAGAAAGTTTCCATACTATATACAGTGAAAAACTGTAATCACATTTAATGTAATTTTACAGTAAAATACTGTTAAAATTACGGTTTTCGGAAGTGAAAAAGAAAAAAATCACTGTATAATTTACAGTGAAAACCCATAAATTGACACTCCCAGAATTCCTTGCATGATATTTCATATTGTTTTTTTTTTTTCGTTGAAATAACTATGTTTCTTCTTAGTTTTTTCTTATCAGTTGTGTACATTAGGGTTTCATCTTACATCTAATGTTGTTAAATTAATGTTTATTGCATTATTTCAGTATCACATATATATATTAGTATTTCCCCTCTCTGAGCTTTGTCATCATGTGACTTTCTCATCACCACCTGTTTTTGGTGGTTATCAGTATTACAATTGTTGAAAACAGATATTAGTACTTCAATATGCTAATTCATTAATATGCTGTTAATGAAATACGTTTTTTTATTGTTAATTTAAGTTAAGTCTGTAAAACCTAAATTGTTGCTACCATATTTTTAATGGTGAAGTTCTGGCAACCACAACTGCTGGCATTTTACCGTAAATGTCAGATTCGTTTTTTTACAGTGCAAAACACAGTTTGGACTTTACGGTCAGTTTGTAAAAATAAGCTAAAATTGTGTTTACATTAATGCACTTACAATGGAAGTCTAGGGCGAGGTTTTCTAGAGAGTTTAAAATCATAAACATAATTAAATATAACTCACTTATTAATTCTTCTGCTCTGCATGTTATTTGAGATGTAGGTCTCTTTTTTCAGAGGGTTACTTTGCTAGACAGAACTGTGAACCGTGAACTGCAATGCAGGCCATACAAACAAATACAAAACAGTAAAAGAGTGAAAATGGGGAAAACAGCACGGTTCAAGATAACACTAACTACAATTCAGAAAAGAACATCCATAACTGGCAACATAAATGATAAACAAGACTTTGCAAAGAAGCTGGGCTATATAAGCAGTCTACTAATGAGGGGATGAGATTCAGGTGTGAAGGAAACACATAGGTTAGTATTCTGGTGATGGCTCCCTCATTTGGTAGGGGAGGGAATGACAGATGCAGAAGCAGATATAATGGATGCAGTGTCTAGCCCTATAAACTTCCACTGTAAGTCCATTATTGTTTGAAAGATAAACAAAAAAAATCCACAAAATTATTTTCTGTGATAATTGACAACATGCCACAGATGTTGTCTGTAGAGCTTCATATATATATATATATATATATATATATATATATATATACGCTTTATATTACAGTTTCTAATGAGTGGGTTTTAAAGGGGTTTACATTTGGATACAAGCACTAACCTGGCGTCGGCCTCACTGTAGTACTCTCTGGCAACAATATCTTCAAACAGCTCGCCTCCTGTGACTCTGGAAAAGTTCACATTCAGAGTCAACACATCAGATAGTCTAATTGCAGCACCTTTAATAAACAGGAAGGTCTGATTTATATTTTCATCTTGGCATGACATTATGAGTGACGAAAATGTAAGTGTACATATACCTCTCATCTTTACTGGTCTCATATATATAAATAACTTCACACTGAAGGGCAGAGCACTTAAAGTAAATACTCTGAAGGGTACTTTACACCTTACATGAACACATATGTCACTGTCACTTTCTTTTGCATTAGAATGTTACCTTGACAACACCGTAGCAAAATTCATTATAGCGGGTAAGAATGTTATTGCAAATATAATTTTGATTCAAATATTATTTTCAGATTTATTTACAATTTATTTAAAAATCGGCTAGTATCCTAAATAATTTACCTCAGGTTTCAAATAAATTCAAATAAATTGTGAGTACATGCCATCCAGGAAAATAAAATATGACTTAGCTACTCCCACTTTAATGTATAAGTACAGTTCCCTTTCAATCGGTCACTTCAACGTTGTGTCGAAGTTCCGACACTAGGAGTCACACTTTGGAGCCCAGATACCTCTGACATCATTAAGAAAAGGCCAATTAATTTGGCAAGCAAAATTTGCATAGCTAGCAACACTCCAGACATCTGGATATAAATAGGCCAACATGGCATTTGCTCTCTCATTCTGTTCTTCGGAGCCACTGCAGCCCCTCTTCTTGGGAGATGAAGCACTGCATTCACCTCTCAATTTCCTCGTCATTTGATCTATGGCCGTCGCATGTAGGGGCCCTCCAAGACTTCCGTCTAGAGCATATAAGTAACCTCGTCCTTTGTGGCAAGAGCTTACACTGCTTCTGGACAAGCTGTGTCCACTCTGCACTGCATAGCTGTTCTGTAGGTATTCAGGCCAGGTTCTGCACAAGGGTGGACCCAACCCGGAGTATGTAGGAACTTTATTCGGCGACTGACTACGCCCTCTGGGTTACAAAGGTCACAGAGCAGGCTATAAGGAGGGCGATGTCCACATTAGTGGTCCAGGAGCACCCCAGACATCCTGATATGAATAGGCCACCGTGGAATTTGCTCACTCATTCTGTTCTTCAGAGCCAATGCAGCGTCTCTATGCCCTTTGGATTACAAAAGTCATAAGGGTTACAAGGAGAGGGCGATGTCCACATTAGTGGTCCAGGAGCAGCACCTGTGGCTCAATCTGGCTGAGATGCGGGATGCTGAGAAAGTGTGACTTCTCAACGCTCCCTTTTCTCAGGCTGATCTCTTTGGCGACACAGTTGAAGAATTTGCACCGCAATTCTCCATGGTTAAAAACAAACGGAGGCCATTAAACACTTCCTGCCTCGGTGTGGGTCAGGTTCTACCCCTGCACCCCGAAGCAGCAGCCTCCATCTGTTCATCACCAGGGATGGCCCCCTGCACGGACTGCTGAGGCCCCGCAACAGCCTGGGCCGGCAGTCAAGCCTGAACAGTGGCCAGTCACTTGCAGAAAGGTGGCACTGTCAGGCCATCCTCAGGATGCTAAGAACCCACGAAAGGCTTCGTAGCGAACACGAGATGGGCGATCCAGGGAGGAGGGACCAGCTGACCAGCCTAGCTCCACTTCCGCCAGGGGGACGGGAGGTGGATCCTGCTGGGCTCCGGATGTCTGCTACATGGCAGGGCAGTCACCAGATAGTCATTAAAAGAGCTATCTCCTCTGTCCCTGGTCCCACTTCTGGCATTTCTGGTCCTCCCATGTGTGACGACTAGGCGCTAAGATTGCACATCAGAGCCTGTTCAGACGCAGATTCTCTGCCTCCTCATGTTTTGATGCAACAGGTCAGTCATCGAGTCATCATCATCAAAAAGTCACAGAGGGTGCCCTTGCCCCTCTCAATCACATAGCGGTCTCCCTCTCATGGCAGGTCATGCTCCGAGACGTGTGAAGGCTTCACCCCCAGCTGGTCCAGCTGTTTTTGAGTCGATTCGGTCATCCGCACATAGATCTGTTGGCCTCACGGGAATCCACTCATTGCCTACTGTGGTTTCCCTGACTGAGGTCCCCTCTGCACGGACACACTGGCACACAGCTGGATATGCATTTGTAACTCTCCGAGTATTATGACGTGGAGAGTACAAAAACAATATAGGAGAGACACTAACTTTACCCAACAAAGAAGAAAGACACACAAAATCACATACACACAAAATCCATATCAAATACCCAGTGTATTATACAATTAGATTAAATACAGTGCCTTGCGAAAGTATTCATGCCCCTTCATTTTTTTTTACATTTTGTTATGTTGCTGCCTTATGATAAACTTATTTAAATTACTTTTTTTCCACATCAATCTACACTCCATACGACATACTGACAAAGCAAAAACAGAATTGTCACAACTTCGTAAATGTATTAAAAATAAAACAAAATATTTAGCTGAAGCACCTTTACAGCCTCAAGTCTTTTTTTTGTTTGATGCGACAAGCTTTGCTCATCAGCATTTTGCAATTATCTGCCTTTCTTCATCTCACCTGTTCACCTCTCAAGCTCTGTCAGGTTGGATGGGGGCAGATGCACATTTTCAGGTTTCTCCAGAAATATTTGACTGGGTTCAAGCTCAGGCTCTGGCTCGGCCACTCAAGGACATTCACACAGTTCTCTATAAGCCCCTCTTGCTGTGTGGGTCATTGTCCTGTTGGAAGGTGAACCTTCTGCCCAGTCTGAGATTCTGAATGCTCTGGACTGGGTTTTCATTAAGGCTATCTCTATATTTTGCTGCACTGAGCGATTCTTCATCTCTAACGAGTCCCTCAGTCCCTGCTGCTGAAAAAAAGCCCCACAGCATGAGGCTGCTACCAGCACACTTTACTTTTGGGATGGTACTCTGCAGGTGATGAGCGGAGCTGGTTTCCTTCAAACATGATGCTTAGAATTGAGGCTTGCAGAAAGGTGGCACTGTCAGGCCATCCTCAGGATGCTAAGAACCCACGAAAGGCTTCGTAGCGAACACGAGATGGGCGATCCAGGGAGGAGGGACCAGCTGACCAGCCTAGCTCCACTTCCGCCAGGGGGACGGGAGGTGGATCCTGCTGGGCTCCGGATGTCTGCTACATGGCAGGGCAGTCACCAGATAGTCATTAAAAGAGCTATCTCCTCTGTCCCTGGTCCCACTTCTGGCATTTCTGGTCCTCCCATGTGTGACGACTAGGCGCTAAGATTGCACATCAGAGCCTGTTCAGACGCAGATTCTCTGCCTCCTCATGTTTTGATGCAACAGGTCAGTCATCGAGTCGTCATCATCAAAAAGTCACAGAGGGTGCCCTTGCCCCTCTCAATCACGTAGCGGTCTCCCTCTCATGGCAGGTCATGCTCCGAGACGTGTGAAGGCTTCACCCCCAGCTGGTCCAGCTGTTTTTGAGTCGATTCGGTCATCCGCACATAGATCTGTTGGCCTCACGGGAATCCACTCATTGCCTACTGTGGTTTCCCTGACTGAGGTCCCCTCTGCACGGACACACTGGCACACAGCTGGATATGCATTTGTAACTCTCCGAGTATTATGACGTGGAGAGTACAAAAACAATATAGGAGAGACACTAACTTTACCCAACAAAGAAGAAAGACACACAAAATCACATACACACAAAATCCATATCAAATACCCAGTGTATTATACAATTAGATTAAATACAGTGCCTTGCGAAAGTATTCATGCCCCTTCATTTTTTTTTACATTTTGTTATGTTGCTGCCTTATGATAAACTTATTTAAATTACTTTTTTTCCACATCAATCTACACTCCATACGACATACTGACAAAGCAAAAACAGAATTGTCACAACTTCGTAAATGTATTAAAAATAAAACAAAATATTTAGCTGAAGCACCTTTACAGCCTCAAGTCTTTTTTTTGTTTGATGCGACAAGCTTTGCTCATCAGCATTTTGCAATTATCTGCCTTTCTTCATCTCACCTGTTCACCTCTCAAGCTCTGTCAGGTTGGATGGGGGCAGATGCACATTTTCAGGTTTCTCCAGAAATATTTGACTGGGTTCAAGCTCAGGCTCTGGCTCGGCCACTCAAGGACATTCACACAGTTCTCTATAAGCCCCTCTTGCTGTGTGGGTCATTGTCCTGTTGGAAGGTGAACCTTCTGCCCAGTCTGAGATTCTGAATGCTCTGGACTGGGTTTTCATTAAGGCTATCTCTATATTTTGCTGCACTGAGCGATTCTTCATCTCTAACGAGTTCCTCAGTCCCTGCTGCTGAAAAAAAGCCCCACAGCATGAGGCTGCTACCAGCACACTTTACTTTTGGGATGGTACTCTGCAGGTGATGAGCGGAGCTGGTTTCCTTCAAACATGATGCTTAGAATTGAGGATCATCAGACCAGAGAATCTTTTTTGTAAACTCCCAGTGTGTTTTTTTCATGTGTCTTAACTGAAGAGATGATTGAGTTTGGCCACACCGCCATAAAGACTGGATTGGTGGAGTGTTGCAGCGATGTTTGTCCTTCTGTAGATTTCTCCTATCTCCACATATAATCATGGAGCTCAACTAGAGTGACCATTGGGTTCTTGGTCACCATGCTAACCAAAGCCCTTCTCCATCAATTGCTCAGTTTGGCCAGGAGGCCAGCTCTAGGAAGAGTCTTGGTTGTTTCAAACTTCTTCCGTTACGGGTAACAGAGACTACATGCTTCTGTGACCCTTCAATGAAGCAGAATTTTTTTTCTGAACTCTTCCACAGATGTGTGGCTTGACGCAAACCTGTTTCTGAGCTCTACAGGCAGTTCTTTTGACCTCAGGGCTTGGTTTTTGCTCTGATATGCATTATCAGCTGTTAGACCTTTTATTAAGACGTATGCCTTTCCAAATCATACCCATTCAATTGAATTTGCCAGAGGTTAACTTCACTTGAAGTGTAGTAATATCTACAAGCAAAATTAATGCTCCTAAGCTGAATTTCAACTGTCCCAGATAAAGGTATGAATACTTATGC